GTCATGATGAATAATAAAATAGCAGCACTTTAGAAGCAAGTTAAAATAAATACAAAAAACCTCTAAACGGCAAACGTGGGTGGAGTAAAACTTCTACAAATTAGTCCAGAACAGTCTAGGAGTATTTAAAAAGAGTTCACAGTAGTCAGATAGGTGAACAGCAACTTGAGTAGGTTGAAAAAGACGTTTTTTGAGGAGAGAATGTGAGATGCAGCTATCAGCGCAAACTCTTAGCACCGCTTCTATTTATAATACCTACAATCAAAGTACACATGCAGCATCTGCTTTGTTTCATAACTGCACCATTAGTGGACCAATTAATGTCAACATAACAAATACAAAATAGAAAATTCGACAACAATAATAAGTCCACAGCACATGTTTTCAAAAATAGCGCACATTGCGCGCTGCCTGTAATTTCCGCTGATGATAATTTATTCACAGCTATTCATATGTAAATTTAGCGTTTAGCGCGAGTGTGTTGGATAGGTGATTATATACTGGTTCCAGGGCCCATTTCATTTGATCACCGTGTCGACCGGCAGATGCCCATCACGTCGTTCAAAAACGACTCTTTCTTATTTTATAAAAAGGTCGAGAGTGCCGAAAATGCTACAGAAATGAAGTTGATATAATATAATAGCAATAAACCAACGCCGGAATCGGGTATACTACTCGACATTGCACAATTCACAACATATATGCACTCGCTTCCGCTCGTGCATATATGTCGTAAATTGTGCAATATCTCGTGGTATACCCGCCTCCGGCGGTGATTTATTGCTTAAATAAACGATGTTTGTTCTAATCGATTTCCTAATTGCCGATGTCATCAAAGGTTTATCTTTGCTATGTATTTTGCTGACTTGTTTTTATTTAATAGGTGCATGTATATGACATATTTAACAAAAATCGTTGAATTTAGTGGTCCTGACAATCCAACACTTCAACCCATGTTTCTGCTCTCAAATCGGATCTAAATTAGTCTACTTGAAATTTGGAGAAATCCCGGGAATACATCCCTGAATCCTGTGGAGAAGCTTATAAACAATTTAAATGTTTTATTTTTTAATTAAAACAGTGGTGTTGTAAAAATAACTCATTTGCGATTTCACGAAAAACACTTAATGTGTTCAATTTTAAAGTAGGGGAGAAATTAAAACACCGAAATTTACAGTGTAGTCACATTCTCATTTATCATTTTCCATTATTTTTTCTATGCACCATTTCAATTAGTAATTAATGTTTCTAATATTTTATTAATGCTACAAACAATTCCAATCAAACGTCTTGAAAAGTGTTCGTTGTAGCCTTTGGTACATCTATACTTGCTTTTTGCCTGGACTAATAATTTAGAGTGAATGTCAATTTCATATAATGAAATGATGTCTTTATTATGCCAGGTGACGCTTATCGACACGTTTTATTTATTTCATAGATATAATTGGTAGAAACTGTTTATGTTTAAAGAAAAGCACACTCTCTAAAATAACAACATAACAATGAGGAAATATTCAGTCAAATATTTAGATCAGACCACAATGTATTCATTTTCTCGGTTATACTATTACCGGAAATATTGAACATTGTCGAACCTATCTTGCAATATAATTTAACACTGTTGCCATATTTCTATTGCGTAAGTAAAAAAGTAGCGCGAAAATACTAATTTCTTCATATCGTTATAACATGGATCAAGCTGTCGTGGTATTATATAAACGAAAACGACAAAATGCATATTCAGCGCCAATTGATATCTTATTTATTGAATTCAACAATTAACTAAGGATTAAAAATACACGATTAAATTTGAGGTCACTGCTATACAAAAACCATCACGAGAAATGAACATAACATATAACAGTTACATATTTAATAATAATTAGTACACTGACCCATTCATAAACATAACAATACATTTAGTTACAATACTAACATACAATATGTGTCACACTCCTTGACGAAAAACGTACAGGTTTACATATATAGCTGCCACAGTGCAGAAAATTAACCTAATAAATTAAATGTTGTAGATATATTTATTAGTATATGATGATAATTATGCATTGTAATACTGATTTTAACTATATTTAGTTAATTATATAGTGATAACAATTTTAATGTTTCCGTTAATGAGACCGAAAAACGATTCTTGTGCAACAGCATTACCTTTAAAGCGAGCATGTGCTTCAATTGCGAAAGATGAATAAATCAGTTTCATCTGTATTTAGCAAAATCCTACTTTCCTCTTTCTTGCAACATTCATACTGCATATAATCTAATATTTGCTTTTTAATTTCAGGCTTACAATTTTCACGAAATTTGTAGATTTGCGTAAAAAAATCTAACAAGTTGGATCCGACTTGAGATTTTTCATCAAAACATTCAGTGACCTCCATCCACAATTCCCTCTTTATACTACCATATCTGACATTCGGCACTCTACGGTTGATGATATCTTCTATGGCATGAGTTCCAATGAAGTTGTAAAACGGATCTGTATAATATTCTCCGAATTTTACAGACAACTTCTCCCATCCACCTGCACAGAATCATACACAATTTTTTTTGAAATCATTTTTTTGGGGGAAACAATTGTTTTCAAACAAGTTTTACATGAATTGATTGATCTTTGGAATCAATTTTATTAGATGAAATCTATTTCATAATAAATACGTACCATCATCCATCCTGGTGAATAATATTCCTCCTTTAACCAAACATTCATATAGGTTCATTATAGTTTCCTCAAGATCTTTGAAATGGTATGCTGAATGTGTTTTGTCTCATTCATTTCCAAATACTCTTCAATCGTAATAGCGTGGAAGTCAAACGTAACATTGTTCCACTGGTCTCCTTTATTTTTCACCAATTGTTTAAACTTCGTCAGTTCGTCTGCGACAGGTTCAACAGCCGTGTACGTAATATTTGTGTAATTAGTCAGCAAGTCGTTTATAAATGGCTCTTCCCTTATCCCTGTAACAACATATATGACTAATAATTTCATTCAAGTTTCTACATTGGAATGGGATTTTATTTCGAATCTGTTAATGAAGTAACGATGCATAGTCAAACCCCTCACTTTGTACATGGCAACGAGCATTGTACACTGGAGCTAGGAGTGCCATGTGTAAACGCAAGCATAAGTACCTTTTAGATTGTATGTATGGCGTGTTAAATTATATTTTCAGACGTCTCATACGTATTCTTTGTTTGAAACTCCATTTTCAATATGATCGATTGAAGGTAATTCAAAATTTATGCGAATATCATGTTGAGTAAAGCTTACCATTTCCACATCCAACAGTCATCACATCCAATGTTTTTGTTCGATCTAAATCCAGTTTCCTAACTATCGTCTGAATGTCATGTTTCCATTTTTCGTCATCCCCATGGCTTGCAAACTTTGTTATCTTGTCATTGCAAGCGTGGAAATATGTCGGATAATGCTTGAGCGTTTTTATTGTTTCTTTCATTTCTACCCTGGCTTTAACAAAATTGAGTTGGTTGTATCAGATATTGTCACACAAATAGGGCTGAATAATACAAATTATGATTACAAAATGAATGTCAAACAAAGGTCGATGAACAGTCAGCTGGCGTACAAATAATGAATTTAATTTTCTGATATTTACAACATGGAAGACAATCAGCGACAGCATTACAGTTGAACCGTTATTTCGGTTTCAAATACCCCAAACGGTTGCTCACGCCTTTTCGTGCAATAAGATGATCGTATGCAAGAGTTTCTTCTCCACAAAAAACTAAGATTCTTCGATATTTGATTGTAGGAAACCAAAAAAGCAGTTTCTCAATCTTTTTTTTTCAGATTCGAGTTGTAATCAACATGGCGGCTCCATATAATAATTATTGATAAGGTAATCACATATATGTATTTATAGTAGTCAAATCTACTATGATAATACATCACGAAGAGCTAAAATTATTCATATTTGAAAGACATAAAATTGGCGTTTTTATAATTCAAAAAGTTTTGTCCACATACAAAACAAAGAACAATTATTAATTTATATTTTATAGTAGCATAAATAACTATAATATAAAACAATAATATATAATATACCGAAAATATGGATTATAAGACATCAGACACATAGAACGCTTTGAACCATTAATATATCTATATACCAAATTTTATATTATTAATTTAATCTTTTCACAACAAGGATTTTATATTTAAAAGCCTCGAGTCCTGTATAATATACTACTAATATATAATTCAATAGTTTATTGGGAATAATACCATTCACACAAACATACTTATGTCTCATTAAATACTCTGAAAATGTATTAGATTATATGTAAATACAACAACATGTTATAAATATCTTGTGAATGTTTATATGTATACTATGTATACTTAATAGTATATGTATATACAAAGTTATAACAAGTAAAAAAAAATTTAATGCGTCGAAAAATTGACTTGATATTAACCTTGATATTTACGAATGAATTACCAAGGAAATAAACTACTATGGGATATGAACGTACATCACTACATGTCGATAATAACGTATATTTATTGTGTATCAGACGATAAAAATGAACACCTTCATGAGGTAAAAAGTGTGATTCACGAAATGACATATGTTTTTAAATCCCCTCAATAAGTACAAAATATTTTGAAAATATGAGACACTTACTTGCTGAGAAATTCATATTGGTAGTACTACTTTGACTCATTGGAAAATCCCTTAACAAATTGCATGAAATTAATAAAAGCAATTCTATTCTATGAATGACCGTTTGTTTTAAAGTGCGTGTGTTCAAATGGCGAATGTTGAAAGGCGAGTCCAGACTGTCGACAGTCTTCGGGCCTAATTGCGTTTCCTAGGCATTCGAACGCCAAAGGCGTTTGATTGGAAATCCGAACCATTTCACGCGAGGGACTTAGCCCCGATAGACTGTCCCCGTCTGCAGGTTTCTAGTTGATATGAATAATTCATAGTTGATGCAGACGTCACGAAATAAATGATAACCACAATGCATGCAAATTTATTTAAATTGCCCCCCTGAATGCGTTGGTTGTTCACGTTTTGTTTGTGACATGCTATCAAAAACTGCTGTGGAAAGTGTCGCGTTCGCGTATAGTACAATTATAACAAACTTCGCGTAAGTCGTCGGCGATCCTAGTAGCGACCTTTTTCACGATTGGGTATCATTTACATATGAATGTACCCGGATCTGGGAATAAATCTTTCCAGTGAATTGCAGCACCTGACAATCGGTCGTGCCTAACGGCACTCCATTCTTCCTGTACCGGCGTTCACAATTTATTCACGTCTATTACGTTTATACACAATATTTATTACTAATAACAGATTAATATTAGGTACGACCGACTGTCGACAGTCTAAGCCTAATCCTCTATTTTCTATATAGTTATTTATGCTGTTGCTGTAATTTCAATACATCACGTTATAATATCGCAAATAAAAAAAATAAGTGAGCTAAGTAGAAGTGTACCGCATCGTTTTTTAATACTAAATTATAAAACGATATTTTTGTATAATTTTTGAAACATGATATTCCATGTAAGACTTCGAATGTTAGTGGACGGTACAAATTACTTATAAAAAAATGCCAAAATTCCAAAAGCTGTACAATAAAATTGAATGATGAATATTTAAATATCAATGAGAATGACGTACACATCAAGTATTCAAATTAAATCACAATTTTTAAAATAATTTTGCCACGTTAACAGTTGGAGGTCAGTCGTCGATTTCTCGTCGTAAATATTACACGTATCTACATATGAATAATATAATATATCTATATCTAATACCCGGCACTAAATATATTGAAACACAATTAGGTTTACTGAATGACGGTATAACTTACTTGTAGTTTGGTGTGATGACTTTATGATGATATGCTAGTAATTAGGAAGAAGACGAACGAACCGTATTTCCGTATTTCCCGAAATATGCGCCTGAATTATGCCTTGCATGCAGTGGTATTTAAACATAGTCTAGGAATTATATTATTATTTATAGAACTTAAGTATTTGCACAGACTGTTTGACCTAGCAGTGTGAATACAATCTCTCATTTTATCAGTTAAATATAGTACAAATGTTTTCTGTGTTTGTGTTTCAGAACTAATACATAATAAATTCGACTAAATTGTGACTACATTGTTTACGTTTATAAGCATATTCGACAAATTTGTTTAAAAGGTTTGCATATAACTATGCAGGTGTTGTTAGCTAGACTTCTCGTCAGTAGAGTCAAACTAATCTGTTTCACGACCTTTCACCTTTGCTTCCCGTACATTCGAAATGCAAATACCAAAAAAACAAAAAACAATCTAGGGTTTGCGATCAAAGATATTGATGAGTTAATTAAATTGTGTTGTCTGTAAAACTATCATATTGAATATTTATTTTGCGGTAGCACGGGGTTGAATTAAGCTAGACATTAGTGCAGCTCTTATTCTGGTTTTATCAGACGATGGATTTTTACACTACTGCATTGCATGGTCTCTAAATCTATATGAAATATTTTGATAAATGCAGCAACCAACAGTACGAGGTAATATAGATATTGTGATGACTATTTTGAATGTACTTGACCTGTTTCTAACTATCACTATCTTACATTGCTGTAGATACAAGTACATTGATAGAATGGAAGTTAAATACATTAGAAAGATTTATTTATACCGAGAGATTTGATTAACTCTGGTTCCCTTCAACAGACCAACTGGAATATAGAATATTTGTGAATCTTCCATTTAATCTGTGAAAAAGCTTACACCAGTGCTACTAAAAATTAACTTATTCCCCTTTTTTTTGACAACCTTCATTTCGCAGATACTTTTGTGTGGGTTTCCTTATTTTAGGTGTACGTGTTTTATTAAATTTATAAACAGTAGTTATGAAATCAATCATGCGGCAACATGTTTGAGATTTGTCATCAAAGCTTTCAGTGTCGTCTATCTTGTAACCCTGTATCGGGTGTTCAGAACTCCACGTTTGAAGTTATCCTCTATGTGCTTAAATGACTCATTCAACCCATGGGCTTGTGTTTCAAAAGAGTGCCTTCGATCAACTGAATGATGAAGATTATGACATAGCAAGGACGAAAGCAAGATCAGTGACAGATGAAGTTGCAAACTTTCTATCTCTCTTCTGGAATCAAGCTGATGTGGCATTTCCTGACTTTATCAAAAGATCATGTGTTCCCTAAAATGTAGGGTGATAAATAAGATAATATTGGTAACCATTACTACAAAAAGAGAATATATTTGACAATGATAATAATAGGCGAAGATGATGATGATTATTACATATGATTTTTCAGGCAATAAAATGTGAATGTGTATATTGCCAATGAAAAAAAAAAGATTTTTTTTTATATGATTAATAAGATATATGAAAATATTGAAAGTATAGTATAGTAAAAGTGGAGTTTATACTATAGTGAATATATCAACATGCTTTGATATGTGCATGGCACATTGCACACCAAAGAACAATCAATACATCTTGCATTACCAATTCTTTATACCTGGACGTCAAGTTTGTGTTTTTATGTTTTTATTTTGTTTTAGACATGACGTATTCTAAAACATGTTATGTAAAAATCTCTAAACTAGTATTGACTAGTATTGTATTCGGAATTACTTTGGGAAACGTAGTAGATGTATAATAATCCGATTA